GTGGTTGGATACTTATGACCGCTACTGTAGTTGAAAAACTTATTGCTATAATAATTCTATTTAATTTGTTATTATCAGTTGCTATTGAACAAGTTATGCAATAACAAAATCTGTTTCAATTTCTTTTGCTTTAGTTATAGCTGCATCTAAATTATTTTGATTATATTCTACTACTATTGTCATAATATATATAATTAATCTTCTGATAAATTTGCTAATGATATATTGTTATTCAAATCCTCCTGTAAAATCAACTCTTTAAATTAATATCTTATATTTTTAAGCATTATCATCTACACTTTGTCTTAATTATTAATAAATTAATTCTAGATCAGTCATTCATTTATTATTTATGATAGTATTAGTGAAATAATTAAGAAATGGTTGATAAAATTATATTAACTTTCTTGTAGATTCAAATTTTAAAAGTTAAGTTAGTTTTTATTATATTATTTAGCAGAAGTATCTCTTAAATAACTGCAACAATAGCTATTTTTCTATTATTATTCTATTGATTAGCTATAGCTGCTCATTCAAAAAAATAAGCTATTCATTTATTATTCTATTAATTAGCTGTGACTGCTCATTCAAAAGAAGTAAGCTATTCATAAAGGTCTTCATTATCTGTTTTATAAAAATAATTAGGTTTAACTAAATTTAGTTCTACTCTATTTGCCTAAACTATATTTCCTACTGGATTAGCATTTATAGTTTGTAACATCATGATAATTTATTAGAGTAATTGTATTATCTAAAAGTTATTATATTTGGCATTGTTATTAAATGTATTTATGATAAATGTAGGTTGAGTAGCAATGAGTTGGGTTGAAGTAATTCTAAACCTGTATTTCTTGTATTAGATGTATTATATATGTTTAATCTTTACTAATACAATTGATTATTACTTTATTAAGCTGTATTTTTTTCAGTTTTAAATTCAGAAGAGAGATTAGAACTACTAGTATTTATATTTAATAAAGGATTTATATTTGAATGATTGTATAATTGAAAAGGATTAAAAATACTTTCAGTTAATTTGAAAGTGATTTTCTTTAGTTTGTTTGTTTTAGAAGTATTGATGAGATTTTAACAAAAATAGATGTAGTAGTAGTTTCTAATTTATCAATGATTATTTTATTGAAAATATTTAAAGTATTTGGATTTAATTGATATCCTCTATATCCTAAAAAAGATAAGATACTATGGAAACTTGTAATCAAATTATCAATTTCTAGATCTTTATTTTTTGATTGAGAATTAATTATTTTAGTTATAATCCTCAAAGTATCTACTATTTTATTATTATTGTATTCAAAATTTGGATTATCAATTGGTGAATATTCAACGTTATCTTTTTCTACAATCCTATCTTTTTCTTTAGCAATAAATTGAAGGTTACTGAATATTTGATTATAATTTAAATTAATTGAATCAAATTGAGATTTTTTTGTGATAATTAAAATTGTTTTAGAAGTACTTTAAATAGAACTTTTAATTAAATTAGATTGAGATGATTTAGGTTAAATGTTTTCTGTTCTTCTGGTATTTGATCTTCTAAAGACCTGATCAACTTTAGTTAAAGTATCAAAAGTAGTAGATAAATATTTTCTTCTTTATTCAGGTTGTACTAAGGGATTGTAAGAGATATCAGATCTAAGTTTAATTTGACTTGAGGTTAAGGGATAATCCAACTAATATTTTCTTTAGAGAAGCAACATTTTGTTCTTCTTATAATGAATAATCATTAAATTTAATTGAAGATTGTGTTTAGGCAATAAATAGAGAGAGAAGAAATTAATTAAGCAATTAGAGATATTTTAGTTGCAATTGATTTATTTCTATAATTTTGAATTAAAGAACTAATTTAAATAATAAGGATTTGAAAAGATCATAATTGTTAGTTAAAATTAAATTTAGGAATAATTTGACTAATAAAAATAAAAGTTTAAGAGTAATATCAGTATATTTATATACTTTAAATTGAATATGATACCAATTTCACAAATTTTTAAAATTTTTAGGTCTAAGGATATAAAGAGAATAACAAATAAGACAGAATAAATTTCTTTTAAAAAATTCTTTTAGATCAATTTTTAGTCTATGACTGAGATCGTATACTTGATTTTCTTGTATAAATTCATTTAAATTTATAATTCTCAAAATTTTTATCTTCTGATAAAAATCACCAAATTGTCATTAAGTTCATTTTTAATTATCTTAATGTTTAAATTAAAAGGCTGTGATAGTTAATTCTATATATTAGAGTTTCTGACTTTAGGATTTTCTCTAAGTCTTACAGGTATCAGTTATTCTTGAATCAATTTAATAATTTATTATAACTTAGAATTTAAGATATATTAATGAACTCGTAATGATAAATTCAATAGCAAGTTAATATAGGGTATCATAACAAATCCTAGATGAAGAATAATGTTAAAGGGAAAAGCAAATTTATATAAATTTAAATTAATTCCTTTATTTATAATTTTAAAACTTGTAAGAAACTTACAAATAAGTTAAAAACTTATAATTAAGTTAATTTACAACTTAAGCAAAAAGCTATTCTATTTATACAAAATAATTTATTATAACTAACTATTTGTTATACTATTATATTTATAAAATATAAAAGGATGTTATTTAAAAGATCTTGTGACATTTTTTTATTAATTTTTAAAGATCATGCGTTACCTTGTCTGAGAGAGCATATTGTTTTTTAGAGGTTTCGCTTTATCTTGTTTGAGAGATTATTTTGGTTACTTGTGATTTTTTTTTATTAATCTCTAGAGATCATGTGTTATCTTATCTGAAAGAGCATATTGTTCTTTAGAGGTTTCACTTTATCTGGTTTGAGAGATTATTTTGGTTACTTGTGATTTTTTTTAATCTTTAGAGATCATGTGTTATTTTACCTGAGAGCATATTATTCTTTAGAGGTTTCGCTTTATCTTGTTTTGAGAGATTATTTTTTTTTATTACTTTGGTTACTTGTGAGTTTTTTATTAATCTCTAGAGATCAAGCGTTATCTTGTCCAAAAGAGCATATTGTTCTTTAGAAATTTCACTTTATCTTGTTTAAGAGATTATTTTTTATTATAATTTTAAATAGAGATTTTGCCTAAAAGTCTTAAAAAATTATTATTAATCTCCAGAGATTTGCTTAATCTTACCTGAAAGATTATATCTTTACGTATTATCTTGTATAAGAGATTCTTTGTAATTTCTGAAAATTGAATTACTGATTTTTAATTTTAACAAATTTTATTTTAATTTTTAAGAGTTTCCTATTAAATAATTACTTTATTGTAGAGTGACAATGATTTCTTAAATTTATATTTTGAATTATTAGACAAGTCTAACGAAAATTATAGATTAAATCATGCTTTATCATATCTTACTAAAAAAAAATTCAAGGATATAGATAGATAGATATAGATTATTCAGCTAATATAGACGTTAAAAAAGTAATACACAATTTTTCGAAGGTTAGTTATAGTTTTATTCTGCATTAATAGTGTTCCGCAAAATCAGATCGGATCAGATTTTATCTAAATCTGATCCAATCTGATTTTTATTTTTCAGGATCTGAATCTAATCTGAATCCGATGGATCTGTTAAAATCCAGATCTGATCTGAATCCAACGGATCGAATCTCAAATCTGGATCTGACAGATCGGTTTAAGTCCAAATCTAATCTGATCTGAATCTGAAAGTATTATTGAAAAAATGAATTTTCGGTTCTAAAAAAGATCCAAAAATGTTTCTTTTTAATGAAAGGAACCTTTTCAGCTCTAAAAGAGTTCTGAAAAGTCATTCCTTTTCATTAAAAGGAACCTTTTCGGCTCTAAAAGAGTTTCGAAAAGTTGTTCCTTTTTAATGAAAGGAACTTTTCAGCTCTAAAAGAGATCTGAAAATTCGTTTCTTTTCAATGAAAGGAACTTTTCAGTTCTAAAAGAGTTCTGAAAGGTCATTCCTTTTCAATAAAGAGAACTTTTCGGCTCTAAAAGAGTTCTGAAAAGTCATTCCTTTTCATTGAAAGGAACCTTTTCAGCTCTAAAAGAGTTCCAAAAAGTCATTTCTTTTTAATGAAAGGAACTTTTCAGCTCTAAAAGTGTTTTGAACATTCATTCCTTTTCAATGAAAGAACTTTTCGGTTCTAAAGAGTTCTAAAAATTCGTTTCTTTTCAATAAAAAGAAATAAATTTTTGGCTTAAAGAAGTCTGAAAGGTCATTTCTTTTTAATAAAAGGAACTTTTCAGCTCTAAAAGAGTCCTGAAAGGTCATTCCTTTTCATTGAAAAGAACTTTTTCAGTTCTAAAGAGTTCTGAAAAGTCATTTCTTTTCAATAAAAGGAACTTTTCAGCTCTAAAAGAGTTCTGAAAATTTGTTCCTTTTCAATGAAAGGAACTTTTCAGCTCTAAAAGTGTTCTGAACATTCGTTCCTTTTCAATGAAAGAACTTTTCAGCTCTAAAAGAGTTCCAAAAATTCATTGCTTTTCAATGAAAGGAACTTTTCAGCTTTAATTCAGATCCGATAGATCAGATTTGAATCCAATCTAAATCTGACAGATCAGATCCGAATTCGAATCCGAATCTGAATCTGACAGATCAGATCCAATCTGAATTCAAATCCAAATTAGATCTGAATCTGACAGATCCGATCTGAATCTGATCTGTCGGATTCGGATTGGATTCAGATCGATCTGAATCTGTGTGGAATACTATGCATTAATAATAATTTATTTTACTAAATAATTTTTATAATTGATTTTTATTAGTTATCTAATCATCAAGTAAAGTTATATCAACAATTGCAAAGAATGTTTCTTCTCTTAATTTAGTTAAAAATAATTTTATTTTATCTGAAATCATTGATTCCGATCACGTCAAGCAACATCATTCAATAATTGATAAAAATATTAATGAGGATGATTGGAAGGAATTTTCAAAAATCAATTTAAATGACAAAGATTTTCTTATGATAATCAACGCATAAAAAAATGGATAAAGCCAAGAAGCATCATAATTTAGAATGGTCAATTAAAACACTAATCAGAGATTTTTTATGAGTTAATAATTATTATCAAACAAAATCAATTTTAATCAATAAATCAACATTTACTCATGACATTCTCACTCCTATTTTAAAATTTATTGTGCTAAGTTATTTCAAGCAATGGAGTCAAGCACAAAGTTTATCTGTAAAAGATAAAGGTATATTGAAATATATCGATATTATAGGAAATATTGAACTTAAAAGACATTTATTTCAAAATTTTTTTGTTGAGGTATCCTATGGGCCTTTTTATCCTAATCCTGATCAACATATTATCAACGATAACATTAAATTAGCTAAATTAGGTAAAGACTCTTTAGATAGAAATAGCGAAACTGTTTATGGCGATATCAATTTGGTATTATTATTTTATTTGCATGCTGAGTTTATACATGTATATGCGATAGATTATCAATTTCATTCTGTTATTAGAAAGATTCCATTAGATTTAATCCTGATCTCTTTTTTCTTTAATGATACATATTTTAAATCAATAAATTTTGTTAAAGTATTATTCAAATATCGATGTATATTAGAAGGTATGTGGGAAAAATATCAATCAATTAACGTCAGAAATCTCAAATGAACTGAAATTGAGTTTAATACTTTCAGTTCACTAAAAAAAAAACTTACTAAAAATGAGTCAGAATTTTCAGTTTGATAATAAAGTTACAGAATTACATAGATTTTACATTTAAAAAATCACAATAAAACGTAATTGAAGTTAAAGAAAATTTAATTATTGATCACACATAACAATCTGTCCTAAAATTGGAAATTTAGCAAATCTGATATCAATGAATAACTAAATGTTAGAATTATACAATACTTTCATCTTTATTATGCAGTCGATTGTACATATGGTAAAGAAAATTAAAATGTTAATTACGTAAGATTTCACATAATAATCTGTCCTGAAAATGTAATTTTACTAGTAATCTGGTAATAATAGACAAGAAAAAAATGGTTTTAGAGTCAGAATTTCTTTCTTATCACGTAATTGATTTTATGCATGATAAAGAAATTAAGTTAGCGATTAACATAATTTTGGATAATTTCAGCCAAGTTTCAGAATTTTAGCTTAATTTCAGCCTAGTTTATGGATTCTATTCACACATAATAATAAATATTTATCAGTTTGTATTATTTTTGTAAAAATGAAATTTATGATATATTTTAATGAATTTTATTATAAAATTTTACTAATTAACCTAAATTTTTTTTTTTTAATATTTATTTAAGATATATTATAATTTTATTTTAATACAAAAAGATTTTTGTTTTAAACTTTTTCAAAAATAATATTTTATAGTAAAATTCATATTGTATTCTAAATAAAAATCAAAAAAAAAATTAGTAAAAATACAAGTTAAAAATTAATTAAAATTGGCTAAAATTGCAGGTAAATTTGTCTATAATTTTATATATTTATATTATATATAAAAGTTAAAATTAAAAATTTAAAACTTTAATAAAAATTTAAATATAATATAGAGTAAAATAAAATATAATTTTTATAATACTTAGATAAATTTTTCAAAAAATAATATTTTTATAATAAAATTAATGTTGTATTTTAAGTAAAAATCAAAAAAAAAATTAGTTAATTAATAAAATTTCAAGTTAAAATTTAATGAAATCTGATTAAAATTATAGGCAAATTTTCTACTATTTAAAGGATAATTAATGCTATTAAATTAGATAAATTATTATTAAAAATTAAAAAAAAAAATAATAATAATTAAATACAATCCCTGGTAAAAGAATTGCAATACAAACTTTTACTATATAAATAACTTTTTTTAAAAGGATTTGTATAAATAATTATATAGTATTTTATATATATTACTAGCTTGAATGTTATGTGTATGTTTGAAGTCTGTAATACATATTTTAATATGAATAAAATTTTTGCGATTATGAAATAAGATCAAATTTTAGTAATTGATCATTAAAATTAAAATTACAAAAAATTTTACTATGTTAATGAGCTTTACCAATTAATAAAAAAATGTTCAGCTAAAAATATTACAATAGAAATAATATATTTTAACTAAAAAGGTAGAAAATAGAAAGCATAAAGTTAAATTAATATGAAGAAAGGCTAATTTTCTAATTTTTTAGTATTTTAACTTGTATTTAAATCTAGATTGACAGAGAAGGAGAATACTTTTTATATTTTAATTTTTTGAATGTATAATTCCTTAATTAAAAGCATTTGAAAATAAAAAAAATTTTGAAAGTTATTTATTAAAAACTTTTATTATTCAAAAAAAACTTTCTATTATTTTTTTTGCTAAAGACTGTACTTAATTATTATCTCCTATTAATATATTAATTATTAGACTTTATTTACTTCATTTTATTTTTTCTGTATCTTTAAATAAATGTTTTCTTATTTGATTTAATTTATCTTTAATTAAATAATGTTAATGTCATTCTTTTTTAAATAAGTTAACTATAATTTAAAATTAGAAAAGCAATAGCTATGACTTAAATATAATTAACTTGATATAATATTAGTTAGAGACTTTATTTAATTAACAAGAATAAAATTATAAGATTTATATTTGTAAAATATTATTGTTATTTATTATTGTTATTAAAAGTATATTAAATTAAATGTTAAAATCTATTCTTTTCTAGGTATTTTTATATAAAATTACAATTAAAGAAAATCAATGATAATAATTATGATTAAAGTATATTGAAAATAATAACAATACTAACAAATATATTAATAATAATAATTATAATAAATATAAAATAAATAATAATAAAATAAAAATGATAAAATGATATAAATAATAATAATATTAGAAATAATAATAATAATAATTGTATTATAATCAACAATTATATTAGTTTTAACAGATTTATCTAATTTATCAATTTTATTAGTCTGTCAATTTTTACTAGTTTCATTTTATTTATTAAATTAATCTTGAATTTAGATTACTCTATAATTTATTAATTTTGCAATTCATATAATACATAAATCTGTTTTTCTTATTTGACTAATATATTTTCTAATTGTTTATTATTATAAATAAGTTTAAATAGCATAATAGAACTAGATTATTATTTGATATAGTAATTGAGGTAGATGCTTTATATTATTATTCAGATATAATTAGTGTATTTACTCTAAATTGTTATTTTTACATAAGGTTATTAATATAATAATTAGTTGGGTCTCAGTTAAAGTATTTTTTATATATATTATATAAGGAATTATAGTAATTAATGTTAAATATTTGTCTTTACAGTAGCGGTTATAAGTATCTGACCGCCTCTAACTCCGACTATAAGTAAGTAAATTCAAAATTTTTTTTTTATTTAAAAAATACATAATTAACTAACTAAAATTAATATATTATGTAGTCATCATCTGACTCTATAAGTGCAGCTGTATACCTTGTCATGCTAGCTATCAAATTCGCAGCAAGTACAGATGATAAATGGTTCCATTCTTTTGTAAGTTTCCTCTTTAACCCTCTAATTGATTGAATTTTTTTTTTGTATATTAATTTTCATTAA